CTCCATCCCCACGGGAAACCCAGTCCCACGGGGGACCCAGCTCCATCTCCACGGGAAACCCAGTCCCACGGGGGACCCAGCTCCATCTACAAGGGTAACCCAGTCCCACGGGGACCCAGCTCCATCCACATGGGAAACCAAGTCCCACGGGGGACCCAGCTCCACATGGGGGGCTCTGCTCTGAAGGCTATAGGCTATTGCAGGGATGTGGCGCACAACGTGGTCTGTCCTAGTAAAGCCAGGGCAGAGTCCCAGAACACCACACGGGTGGCGAGGAGGGGAAGGCCCTGTGTTGCTCCAGCCTCCACGCCTCCCAGGGAAGAGATGGCTCAGCCAGTAACCTGGCTCCAACAAGCAAGACAGTGGCACCTTTTCACACCTGCCCCTGCCTGGGCCAAAGCCCCTTCATGGGGAACTAGACGAACCTGTGCTTTGTGGAGCATGAAACGTCACGCTCACACATGGGCATTTCTGTGTGTCTGGGGTGGAGAGGAGAGTGACAGGAAGGGGCTTTTACAGGGTCAGTCACAATTGTCAGGACCTTCAGGAAGCACTTGCTACAGCTGTCAACAGAAACCCTACCCCACGCCACATGCATGCACACGCACACACACACACATGCACACACGCCAGGAAACTCCAGCCCTGCCACAGAGACCCAGGCCCCAGGAAGCTCCTGGACAGACGGAGGCAGGTGCAGGCCTGAAACTGCTGCTGCCTGAGGAGAAGGGACAGCCCAGCCGCTCTCCCGCCCTGACAGGGGCTCCTGCGCGCTGCGCCGCAGGGGCAGTGGGGAGGCCCCCAGCTGAGGCACCAGGCCAAGCACTTGCCTGTGTGGCTCGAGCCACCCATGCTCAGGAAGCACCCGAGCTCCAACAACGCCCACCGTGGGGGCAGAGTCAGCGTCTAACAGGGTCCAGTTTCCATTTCTCCAGGAAACTAAGATCTAGAGATGCATCACACAACAACGTGAGTGTCCTCAGCACTACGGAACTGCACACTCCAAAGTGGTTAAGCTAGTAAATGTAATGTTGTGGGTTTTTGCCACAATTAAAACAATAAACGAGGCCCTGCCCCCGCTCCTATTGGGACTAAAGCCCCTGCCCCGGTCTCAGACTCTGTGGCTGTGGGCATGGCACCCGTGCAGCTGGGTGGACTCCACACCCACGCAAACACAACAGCATCACAAGGCTGGCCACACACCAGGCATGCTCCTCCCTTCACTGGCTGACAGGTCTAAGAACCCTAAAAAGCAGGAAGACTGAATTTTAGATAAATGAATGAAAAAAAAAAAATGACAAAGAAACAAGGACCACAGACTACAGGACGGAGCTGAGAACACCTGGCTCCAGTCTTCAAGGACACACAACCCCGGCACACACACACACACAAAGGGACAGAACTGCACACTGCGGCGCCGAGGCCCCCCGTACCCTCCATGTCCAGAGACCTCCTCATGGGACCCATGTAACCACCCCAGCAAAAGGGAAAGCCATCAATCCACACCGCCCAGCGGGGGGGGAGGCCATCAGCCCACGCCACTGTCCCACTACTGAGGACCCTCAGCCCACACGGATGCCTCCCTCAGCCCCAGCTCCTACCAGCAAGTCCCCGTTGAGGGTCCCAGCCCCACATCCAGCTGCAGCTGCATGTCCAGCAGCCCCCCCAGGAGCCGCCCTAAACACCAAAGGCACAAATGCAACAGCAGACACCCGGACACACTGTTCACGTGAGCACCCTGCCCCAGCACCACACGCTCCGGCCCAGTTCACGGGTCACAACCTCATTTAAATCATGGACATGGCTTCCCCAAACTTTGACTATGGATCCACTGAGGTTCTTAAGCCCAGACAGTCCCAGAACAGGGCTCGAAACATGGATATCCGTGTTTGTTGACTGCGTATGAGGAGGTACTCAGAGGCTGTGAAACAGTGAGTCCAAAAGTCCAAGTGAAAGATGAGGCCAAATACACTCCCAAGAAGGAAGAGAAGAAACATGCTGAAAAAAGACAAGGCCCTCAAGGCCTTCAGCTCTTCTCTTTGACACACACCCCGCCACTAGTCGGGGTCACTGTGATGGCCGCTGTGCCCACGAGGCCCTGCCCAGGGGCCATTTTCTGGCCCACATGGCACTGCTGCATGTGCCTGGCTGACCCTGGCTTGGGAGCTCCCAGGGCCTCCTGGGCCCATCCCACTGCCCCATCAGCCTCCCTTGGCCTCAGTGACACTGTGTCACTGCCCTGACCTCCCCTAGGGGATCCTCACCCTCCCGAGCCCCAGCCCTTCCCCACTCCCTCCTGGGGACCCAAACCCTCCCCATCCCCTTCCCAGCTCCCTCCTAGGGGATCCACACCCTCCCATCCCCTTCCCAGCTCCCTCCTAGGGGATCCACACCCTCCCATCCCCTTCTCAGCTCCCTCCTAGGGGATCCACACCCTCCCATCCCTAGCCCCTTCCCAGCTCCCTCCTAGGGGATCCACACCCTCCCATCCCTAGCCCCTTCCCAGCTCCCTCCTAGGGGACCCACACCCTCCCCATCCCCTTCCCAGCTCCCGCCTAGGGGACCCACACCCTCCCCATCCCCTTTCCAGCTCCCTCCTGGGGGATCCACACCCTCCCATCCCTAGCCCCTTCCCAGCTCCCTCCTAGGGGACCCACACCCTCCCCATCCCCTTCCCAGCTCCCGCCTAGGGGATCCACACCCTCCCCATCCCCTTCCCAGCTCCCTCCTGGGGGACCTACACCCTCACATCCCCTTCTCAGCTCCCTCCTGGGGGACCCACACCCTCCCCATCCCCTTCCCAGCTCCCTCCTAGGGGATCCACACCCTCCTCCCCACCTCAGTCCCTTCCTCCCTCCCTCCTAGGGGATCCATGCACTCCCCCTTCCCAGCCCCTTCCCGGCTCCCTCCTAGGGGATTCACACCCTCCCCATCCCCAGCCCCTTCCCGGCTCCCTCCTCAGGAATATCCCTGCTCTGTCCTCACGTCTTTCCAGTCTACACTCCAAAGGCAGCCAGGGTGATCCTCAGAAAACACAAGCAGATCCACCTCCAGGGCCCTCCTGCTCTCTCACGGTAAAGGGCAAAGGCCTTCCAGGTCTGCACAGCCAGGAGGCCCTGAGCCCTGCCCTTCCCTCCACTTGCTTTGCTCTGAGTCTCAGATGTGTGGTCCTCGGGCCCCATGGCCTCTGCCTCTCTCTGCAGATTCGCAGTGGCCCCCACGCCTTCCCTGCTCGCAGGTCTGGTCAAATACCGTCTCCTCCAATTTTCCCTGGGTGACTGAGCCTCCCCAGCCCAACAGGAGACCCTAACCCAGCGTTTCTCCATTTCGAGCAGTTAGCCTGCAGCACGCTCCTTCCCGGTCTTCCCTCCGTCTGGGACTATCTCCAGGAAAAAGACATTTCCCTCTGCAGCCCCAAAGCCCATCGTGTGCAGCAGGATAGCTCCAGGAGCTGATATGACAAGAAAACCTTTTCAAGCACTGTCGAGTTCTGGGCAAAGACTCACAAGAAAGATTAAGACGCCCCTTTCCCCCCAAACCTCCCTGAGTAACAAAAGGGGGGAAGAGGAAGAGAAGGATGCTCCTCCAGGGGCAACAAAACAGGGTCCGACTCCATCCCTGCTCCTGGGGATGCAGCAGTCATGGGAAGGGAGGATGTTTCCAGGACAGGCGTCAGAGAGGTGGTCCTGCCGTGCAGGATGGGGTGGAGAGCCCGCGGGAACCTGCGCGTCCGTCCTGACAAAGGGACTCGGAAAACAAGACTGAAAACGTATCCAGAAACAAATAACAGAACAAAAGAATCCCTGAAAATAAGAGAAAACAGACCAAGCCTGGAAAGAGAATGGGAATCCTTACTTAAAAACAGGTGAAAAAGATCAGCAGCAAAACCTAAACACTGAAAAACAGAATCCCCAACGTGCCGGGCAGAACTCAGGTGACACGGCAGAGCCCCGAATTCTGAAGGGAAAGACCACGGTGACCCACATGCTTCCACGCAGCACAGAACCAAGGGCGGAACAGGGAGGCAGGGAAAGGCGGAGCAGAGCGTGTCTGTTACAAACTAAGTGTCTGTTACAAACTAACGAAAGGCAAGAATCAGAACCTACTAAGTCAGCAGGTGGGTAAGAACAGCAATACCCTCCAAGGCAAAGCACGCACAAACCTGCTCTAAAATTAAAACATGTTGTTAAACTCTACATTCTTAAAGTTTAAAAAGTTTTCTTATGCTTAGAAGAATTTTAGAGGTGTATCTCTTGCACCCAGAA